ATGTTTGAGGACAATTCAAGAAGCAATGCACTTGTAAGCCCAAATAATCTTTTAAAATTTCTTGACAAGATCCAAATGATTGGAACATGCCCAATAATATCCTAATTATTAAACGAGTCATTGAGCACCAAAGCTCTCAATTGAGTGAAGCATTGTTCATCAGTCAAAGTGGATAATCTACTAGAGCATGGTTCAACTTTGATGCATTCTGTCTATCTCAAACAGCTCGTACTCGAACACTCTTGTTTTTGATAGAATATTGTCACCAAAGGCATTTTGCAATATTTCTAATGTTTTTGTAGCTGTAATTTCATTGCAAAAACAAAATTTAATGCATGTTTGTTACTCAATTATACTCAATGTTTGAAAAATTGCCAGTGCAAAAATTCTTTATACATAAAACAAACATTTATTTGCAAATGAAAACAGATGATGACATGTGTATTGCTGTAAGATGTCGATGAGAGTCATACTAAACAACAGAACAGTGTGTGCAATTTAAATAAACCCTTCCCAATACTTTTTGATCACAGTAACATAATGTTCTGTTTGTATGTTTTCACACATTCCAATCAGTAGTGATTTAGTAATTTGGAAGAACAAAAGTGGAAATTTTCTCAAATCTTAGATTTATAATTCTGACTCCTGTTAATTATAAATCTATCATTTTTGCATTTATGGTGGAGAAATATGAGCATGAATTTTAAAAAAAGCATATTTAAGATCAATCCACATTCCATAAGATTCATGTCATCCAGTTACATATAGCTTTTCTGCATTTAGAGTTTACTAAATAGTTCCTTGTCTAGAGCATTCCAGATTGAAAATAATGTTTTTGCAAAACTTGGTTTCAACATATAAGAGAAATAATTTTTGTAAGATGGTTACATAGGTTGACAAGCAAATAAATAAAATGAGGTGTAAACAAAACAATAGCAATAAAAGAGCTTTCTTGCAATTTGCATTAGTGCATGAAAGGGTTTTGTAGGAAGTTACAAATAGTGAGATTGTTTATAAAAGGAGCTGAACTCTTTTAGATTATATTTATCATTCTGGAAACAAAGTTAAAGAATTACACTAGGACATCATGTGACTTTGTCGTATTGTGATAGAATTGGGGTAGAGCCAGAAAGAAAGAAACAATCCCTGCATTTCTTAGGCACAAAAGAGTGAAATCTTGTACCTGACAGATGAGGTTTGCAATTACCTTCATAAAAGAGGCTATTCTTGTTCCTGATGAATGTGGACAAGCAAACTTTGCACTTGCTGCTACAAAAGAGGTTAGCATTTGTACCTATAATGTGGCTAGAACATTTAGCACCAGGGACAAACTTAAATATGACACCTTTTGGATAAACCTTTCATTAGTCTGTTACAAATTTAAAAATTATAAAATCACCGTTTTTATTAATATAATGCACATTGCATTTCATAATATAATTTTTTGTACTCGTGTGCAAGTTTTCTATGAATTTATTAATTTGGCCATGTAATTATTGGTGTTATGGGCTCCCTTTGCCTTTCCACAACCCTGCTTACCTGCCAGCCATGGGAGATGTGGTTCTTGCACTTGCTGACATAGAGATGCAATCCAAGAACAAAGCAAACAATGGTGATTGCTTTGTTCTTGTGTTTGTATGTTTGCACCTATTTTCCATTAGGCATACGCAATGCTGTGTTTTATTTATCTCCCTTAAATTTCTTTAGGCACTCAGTTGTGTCAAGGAGCATGGATATTGTCAATTTGACGCCACTGTATAGCGACAACAAAATTACAGATTCCTATTTTTTGTATTTATTTATTTTTTAAATGGACCCTCATTACATTCTTGAATTCCTCATCACAATTAATGGAAGACGACTAAGTTTTATCAAAATCAGCCCATCAAATTTTGAGAATGAACTGAATTTTATAAACCCATGGAAGACATGCTAGCAACTTTGGGACATCTCCCAATTCGTGTAATAACACTTTGTCATGCACAACAATGCTAGAACCTTGTATCTCAAAAACGATGTCATGGATGCCCATTTTTATAATGTTTTTGGATTCTTCATAGCAATAAAAGTCAAAGTTTAATCAAAATTGATTGATCAAATTTTGAGATGGAACACAATATCAGCTACAAGAAGACGCTTTGCTAATGCTCCACCTCAATAGAGCAGATATTTATTTGAACTCAGTTGTGGAGAGGTTGGAGAAATATTTAAGATGGTAATGAAGGAAAGTTAGAACTAGAATAGAATAGAATATAAGACAGATATAAGGATTGCCACAATAAGAACAATATTAAGTCAAGAAGATCTTGACTCAAACAGATATTCTTTACATCTAAAGATATAGAGAAGATAAGAAAAAGAAATAAGGAAAAGAAAAGAATGTAAGATGTACAGAAAGGATTTGAATATATTAAAAAAGTTTGGAAGAAGTTATTAATGAGAATGATTCAAAAAAATCTTAACAGTATGGAAGTGTCTTTTAAATAAAAAGGAAAATGGCAATGGCAGAAGCATTAAGTCAGTACTTCTAAATTGTACATTATTATTAATTTTCATGTTTTAAAAATCCAGCAACATTTAAAACGCATGTGGTGCCATCTGTTAAAAATATAAAATATTGTAATTGTTATAAAATAGCAAAACACTTAATTTTGAGGGTAGAGACAGGTTTTATAAAAGTTTTAAATGCTAATAATGAGTAAAATAGTCATTAAGTCCGACCCTATTCGAGATACAACACACGACCCTCCATCTCCCCTACCTGTCAACCTTTGATGATATTAATTTTAGTGGTTAATCCCTTAATACACAAACCTCCCTGCAAAATTTCAGAAATTTTTGACAAAAAGCATGAGAGTTATTAAGCTTCAAAGAGGGTGAATAAAATGGTGCCCCCCCACACACACAACCCCAAGCATCCATACATACAGGAAAAACCTATGAATTTTTGTCTCTCTCAACATTTCAAGTCCAGAATCCAAAAATATAAAAATCTGGGGGGGTCATTTTTTGACTGATCGCCATACTTTCCCTTTGTTTATATACAGTATAACAGGTGGAAAGTAAAATAAACAAATATTTAACAAAAACATATTTTTGTCATATTTTTGGATTTTTCTTTGTTGTTATTTGTAAATCTTAAATTTATATTAGGAAAAAAGTTTTTTTTCATTGGATAATATTTGTAGATGGTTCTTTGGCAGAAATGGGAACAAGAGACAGGAGATCTAGTTTCTTGGAATCATTATGTAATGTTGGAATTGGTCTTGGACCAGACCAGGAATGTCCAGTCTAGTCCAGTCCAGTCCGCAGGTCACACTGCACCCTATACATTTTTTAGATACATTTTCATTTATTTTGGTAAAGTATGTTGAAAAAATTATTCTCATTTCACTGAATACACTTTGATGTTGTAATGATGTAATTGTTTCTAGAAAACTGTTGTAAACAATTGTTTTCATGCATGAAAAACATCAAAACTGCTGAAAGAAATAAGTTGAGTGATTCCCATTTAACTAAGATTCTTAGAATCAAGACTAGTACCATAAAAGCAGATATATTATAAAAGGATGGCAATGTCAAAAATCACATTGAATTTATTTTTATTTTGTGGGAGTATAACTATAACTTTTTTTATTGACAATAATATATATAATTACAAAAAATACTGAATTTGTTATTGAAATTTGATATTAACATTTGAAGTTTTTAAAAGCATATATTTATGTAAAGTACCTTTGTGTCCCACCGAATATATGTAAATTTCTAATTTGGCCCATAAGGAAAAAAAATTGGACAACCCTGGACTATACGGTTCCTTGTTGGCTTTATATAGGATATAAAATGTTTCTCTCTATTATTGTCCTTTGGTTGATCTGCTCCAAATTATCTTTGTTTAACTTGGAAAATATAGACTATCATGAATCCTGGACACCTTACCCCTCCCCTAATTTTGTCCCCTTTACTAACTCCTAAACACTGTCTGATCTGCACCAAAGTTTTCATACTTATTCTCTGGAATTCTGAGGTAAATGTAGACTTCCATGAAATCCGGACACCCCACTCTTTCCCTGATTTGATCTCCTCAATACTTTGTGATAAACATGACAATTGTAAGCTAAAATAACAAAATTTGCATTTTAATGTTTAGCCATTATCATGTTTGGAAGTTCTGAATCTGGAACTGTTATGGACAATCCATCTCTAATGGAAACTTATTGTCTGTCTTTTAAGTCAAAAGATGCTCAACTTAAGACATTTCTGAACATTAAAAATATTGAAAAAATGTTTATCTTCATGTTTTTTGAAAATTAATTATTTTGAATTTTACATAAGATTTTTTTTTAATTTGCTGATGATATATTTAGGAACTGATGTTTTAAATCTTTCATTGCAATAAAGCCATAGAAGAATTAATTGATAAACATTACAGTAATTGTTCCTATAAATTACAGTATAGTACTAAGAATGCTACAAAAATTTGTTAGAAAATAATATTCTACTAAAGAATCTTATTTACTAACTTTTAGAAAACTGTCATTTTTAATGTTTTTTCATTGAATGACATTTTTATAATAAAGAAATAATCGATAAAATGCTTTCCATCTATTTATATCATAAATAACAACTACAATTTCTATGCTTTGTTAATAATAATTAAATTATAAATGAAACCATATGCTCGAATACAAAAATTGTAATGTCTTCTCTATTGTTACATCCAACTTTACTTTTTGTTACGCATAATACTATTTCTGAGAAAGAGCTAACCAAAGGAGAAGTATAATTCTTGAAATAATTTAAATAAAAAAGTATATTTTCCCATTTGGACTAGCTTTTATCATTTAAAAAATTGAAATACAAAATTATTTCAAATCACTTAATAAAGTAATTAATTTTTTTTAACAATTTTTTTATAAACTTTTGACATGAACAGAAATTAATTTGGATACACATAATTATCAAAACAGCAAGAACTTTTATATAAAAATGTGAAACAGTTTGGCAAGATGAAAGATTTATTTCAACAAAACTGACTACTGACATTAAAATGCCACAATTAAAATACATTTTGGAAGTGTTCAAAATATAACATTTTAAAATTCAAACAAGCAAACATAATATGTATTGCACACACAATATATTGCAAAAATTAAAAATAAACTGACCTTGATATGTAATTTAACTAGTGATGATGGTAGCATTTTCCAGTTGTTTAAATTTTTGAGCTACCATAATGACAACAACCTGTTAGTGATGTTTACAATAGAAATTCTGAAGCACCTGTTTTGTTTTAGCTACGATAGGCCTATTTTTACAGATAACAGCTAAAATTTAACTGCTAGCCTGCACATGTTTTTACATTTTTGTGTTTCAAAAACACTGGTTGTATCTTCACAAACAACAACCCGTGATAATTCTTTGATATACCACTAAGCAAGCAACACTCACGGATGAAGTGTTTTTGCTACACATACACTTTAAGGGAAGACCATAGGTAGAAAACACAGTGTTCTGTCACCATGACACGCATACAGTGATATGGCACAGGTGGTGAGCCCCACAAGTTGGCCACGAGTTCAATTTTAGCTAGGTCTTATTTACGTGTTCGGTATCATCAGACTTACTTGGTCGATAATAAATGGCAACTAGTGGGAGCTTGGGAAGACTTAGATTTTTTTATTTATTTACTGTTCGTCCATTGGGACTCAAAGCGCAACGGTTCTAATATTTTATCGTCCGACACGATGCATATATTGTGCACAAAAGTGTCTCCGTGCCTTGTTATATCCTCCGGGTGATTAAAAAAGTATTTAGGACCGCAGTGTGAGACGTTTGCCGTAACCCGATGAGAAATATTCTCTGTCCGTGAAGTGAGGCAAGGCAATGAGGCATCACATCACAGAAGGCATACACAGCAGTCAGTCTTTTTCAAATGAGCACGTGCCTACTTAGCACAAAGGCAATGAATAAGAGGAATATGGAAGCACTGGTAACTGAACATTTTCCACACTGTTTGATTTCGCTTTCCTGAAAAATGTGTGTGTATATATATATTTTTTAAAATTCATATACACACATGCAAAAATTATAAAACTTAAAAGATTGCTACTTACTCCTGCATGATAATTAGTACAAGATTTCGGCCTGTCCCTATAAAGACCCGTTTTCATATGTAAGCATTTTACGGTATTATTTGCTTGATATTCTTCTGCCGTAAGTTTAACGGAATTCTTCTCGCATGGACAAGATGTATAAACAACTAACATTAAAAGATTTGTATATGGGACTTGTTGTACGATAAATTGCCTGAAATAAAAAAATTGTTGTTTATTACTTTTAAAATACAAAAGTTAATTATAGCTCATTTAAAAAATAATTATTTTTATAAGTTCTGTGAATAAAAATTATATAATTAATTAATGAAGTTAGTTAATAATATTCAAAAACAATTCCCCATTCTTAGGAGGATTTAAAAATTTGAAAATAAATCATTATTAATTTCAAGAATTTGATATTCCAGTCAAAAGATTAGTCTGGTATGAGATATGAAGCGATAATTTGCATATAATGTTAAGTTAGCATATAACTGCTAGCACATACACTAGAAAATCTGATAGAGTCCTGCTGCTCTATATGACTAGTTTGACTCATATAACCAGTTGTTTATATTGTGAGTATGGAAGAAAAACCTCTTAATGTCCATATAACAGAAGTTATGAACAAATGTTTCTATCTATATTAATGTATATGTGGATGAAGATTATCTGTGAAATATTGCTAATTGGATATTAAATGTCCATATAATCTTATAAAATTCTTAAATAAACAAAAGATTGGTTTCTTATGAAATAAAAAATATGTTTTATTTAAAAATGCAAGCAGTACTAGAGTGGAAATTTGTTTTCTTCCACATTTGAAACATAAATGTGCTTTAGAAATGTAAAATTAGTTCTTATTGAAATTTTGCCAAATATTTTTTAATGTTAACCATATAGAACTCTCTTAAACATTTAAAAATTTTATTCAAAAACACTAAAAAATTTTGAATATTTGGTTAAACTATACCGTATGACTTTTCTCATGGGTGCATTGCCTCTGCCTCATAAGCATCATCATGGTAGCAACAGCCAATGTTGCCACTGTTGTGTGCTGCATGTTATGTAACATGCAGCACACAACAAATCTTAAACATCTATGACATGGTATGAAACTTTAAAACTTACTCTACATGATTACAATTTACTTCTGTTTTATGTATGGCTTTTGGTCTGCAAATCATGAAAAATGTATCAATTGTTTGTATCAAATGTATCAATTTCCAAATCAGCCAATGATGAACTGGGATGTTTTGAAAAAAATTTGTGACTTCAATATTGACATCCCCTTCTTGTTATGATTCAATGATTACAAAATTCTTATTTCTCATTTTAATTAATGACAACATTGATGCAGTTCTGCCATACATAAACCTAACTTCAGAAATATGCCACTTGGAAGTTGAGATAATTTAGTGTTTAGAACTGATAAAGAATTCAAAACACAAAGAATGACTTTTTAAAGATTTTATACTTCATAACTAAGTAAAATTACATAATCAAAATTTTAAATTATTCTGAGAAACAGAGCATTTTGAATCATCTACTTTCATGAAAACTTTAACTCAAATAAATGAAATGCATTAATTCAAAAATCACAGTCAATATGAAATTTTAATAAACTCTAAGGAAATGATATTTAACTTACTTGTCACAACCTGTCTGATGGCACATTGACAGTCTGCCTTTGATTGGATCTCCTGAATCTTTAACTTGCATTTCATATAGATATAATTCCTTTTCACATGGTCTTGGTTTGGTTTTATTCAATAAAACATCATCATAATCTGCTTGATTAAAACCATAATCTAGGAAAAATGCAAACAAATATCATAATGCATTATGTGTCCTGTATAATATTAATCCTTTTTGTTCCAATTAGTCAATATTAGTATCTAGAATAGCTTGAAGTTTTTCAAGAACAACAGATTTATAATCAGACTTAAGATATCAAACTTGTTTGTAATGAAAATAATTATGCAATGGAATCTACAAACACTGGTTGATAGACAGAAAGTCCTAACCATGAGTGATGAACCATGCAACTTAGATCAGACTCAAACATAGTTTCCTACAATAATAGAAGAATTCCTTAGTTTCCTCTTTAGACAATTTACATTTCAACTAGTGTTATATTGATTACATTTAAATAATTTAAAATTATGTATAAGGGGCTGTCCATAAATGACATCAACATTGGAAGGATGAGGGGGGTTTAGCATTAATGAATGTCATTTATTTCATTAAATTTTATACAGCTTATTATATTTATTTAAATTTCTTGTATGTTTCATTTCTACTTATGGTAGCTATCATTCATATAAAATGATAAACGTTTTAAGGGGGATTGGGTTTTATTGGACATCCAGAGGGAAAGGAGATATAAAAAAATATGCACAACAGACCTGTAATGAAAGTTTATTATTTTAGGTTTATTTCTGAAAAAGTATTATCAAATGCTTTTACAAGTTATTGAGGACAGATAAATGTAATAGTCTGCCAATCTGTGGACCAACTAATTGTCAAATATGTGACCCAGATACAGTAATGTAACTAAGGGGATGAAGGTGGGCATGTTCCCCAAGCACCAAAATTAACTTGTAGAATTTTTTATGAAATTAATGTTAAATTGGGGGCACCAAGCATGAGGTTTACCTCAGCTCTGCCCAGAGATGAATAAACAAAGTAACTGAAATGCTTTGTTTATTATTTGCAAAATTACATATTAATATTGACAATTAATATGTAATTTAATACAAGCAAAAAACAAACATGATAAACTCTCTTTTCATGTTTTTACATAATTTACTACCAAATTATTTAAAATAAAATAATTCAATTAAGAATAGCTATATTGGTAACAATTAAATAATAATAGAAGATTCAGTATTGTTAGATTATACTATACCATACTATAGTAACTAGAAGATATAGAAAAGTAACAGTTGTAAAAGAATAATGATATTATTACATACAAATCATAAAAATAATTTTAATGACTGATAACAATTACCTGAAGCAAATACTCCTTCATGAGACCAAAGTCCATACAGGCTGTAATTAACTAAAAATCTGAAAGAGGAAAAAATATAAGTCTTTATACAGAATACTAACTAGTTAATATCAAATACTTACACAGCTAATTTACTCCAAAGCCAGCTCAACATATTTTTCACATGATGAAAAGGCTGTAAAAAATTTTTATTTAAAACAAATGATTAAACAATTTAATATTTCTATTAATATTTAAATAATTGAGTTTGAAGCCAAATGACGGCAATTCATGAAATAATTTTATAAATAATATAAATTTCAAAATTGTATATAATACAAATAATAGAGATTGATAACAAAATAATTAGGATTTGATATCTACTTTCAGGATTCAAATTACTCTACATTAATTAAACTTCAGCGATTATTTTAATATTATAAGTGAATGGCAACACTTCTGCTGCTTTCATAAAGTAATGATATAGATGAACAATATATAACAATGTTTGATTGTATTCATGATATGCTACAATGACAAAATATTGGCATTATTTCACTGATACATTTTGTGAACCCAGCCTTATATGCAATGAAATGAATCAGTATGGATGAAAGTTGACAAAATATCCTTATTTTTAAGTAAATTATCCTTAGTATTGTGATTTTTCATAAATATATCAATCAGATTTAAATCCCAACCAATTATGGTAGCAGAATGTCTTACTGCAAGGCTATTTGACATAAATATTAATAATTATAATTAATTTTCAATGTAACAGAAATTTTGCCCTTTTAGATTTAGATATTGTGATCAAGTTAAAGTAAACTCATGAGAAATATTGTAAGGAGTTTGGTAAAGCTATAGGTCAAACTTTGTTGAACCAGATGTGTTTGTTGCATCACTGGCTCATGACGTTACCAAACTTCTTGTGTTACTTCTTGCAAGTTCTAATTTTGTTTGACCACCTGGTATTACTAATTAATCAAAATGGGCTGGAAAAAATTCATTATTATTTCTTTGCTTGATTTACTATTTTTACATATTTTAAAGTAAATAAATTCTTTTATGAGGGACTTTTATCAGCAGCAGTCTAATGTTCAGTTTTCTTTCTAGAATAATTTCTTGACTTTAATTGCATGGGCGAAGCACAGTCTACTGGAATATCATTTTCACTTTCTTGTCCAAGTTTTTAAAAATAATTCCCACGTTAGATTTTTGTGATTTTGGTGTCAAAATGCTCAGTATAACCTTGTCCTTTGTAGGAAATACTTTTTGTAAAATATAATCCACTCTGAGAAAAAATATATTCAAAAAACAAGTGTTGACTTTCTCCACTTTGACGCTTAATAACAAAAAAGCATTTTGACATTTTTGGGTGCTGTTTCTTGAAATATAAAGGCACACAGTTACTTAATATTTCTCCAGAGTTTGGTGAATTTTGGTTGAACTACAGAAAAGTTATACGAATTCTAAGAAGAAAGGAACATCCCACATTTCCACTAGATGGTGCCATGTTACCTAGCTCTAATAATGGGAATACATAATTTAAACGCTTAATTGGGACAATTTTTCACTTAAATGGGGACAGTAGCAGAAAAAGAATTTAGCAATTTTTGATATACGAGGGGCGTTCAAAAAGTATCGAACCTTTATTTTTCCCATGTAAACCAATGATGCACGGGAGGTCTCTTTCAGTGGAGTTGTGGAGGGGACAGTCATGCACAGTCCTGAATTTTTTCCCGCCTGCAGGAAGCGTCAGTCACTGGCAGTCGGAGTATGAGTGAGGACATGTAGTGAGTGCTCGTCGGATTCCACTAAGTTGGAAAATGACTGAACAATGTGAGCAGTGATATTACATCAAATTTTGCCAAAAGCTTGGCGATACCCAAGCGGAAACCATTTGCAAGATTCAGCAGGCTTTCGGGGATGATCCTCAAGGCCAAGAAAAGCATGGCAGTTCCACAGCAATGTCAAGGTCGTGTTGACAATTTTTTCAACTCCCACGAGATGGTGTATCCTGAGTACACATCACAAGGCCAAACCATTGCAAAGGAATACTACCAGGAGGTCCTTCATCATCTTTGTGATGCTGTACAACACAAATGACCAGATCTGTGGTCAACCAAAACTTGGCAGCTCCATCATGATAATGCACTCGCCCATTCTGCACATCTGATTTGGACTTTTGTTGCCAAACACAACATTCCTGTGGTTCGTCATGCTCCGTACTCTCCCGACATGGCTCCGTGTGACTTTTGGCTATTTCCCAAGCTGAAAATGCCGCTAAAACGAACCCAATTTTAGTGAAGAGAAGACATCATGCAGAATGCGACAGACTGGCTAATGGCTGTTCCAGCAGTGTTTCCAGCAATGGCAGGAGTGCTGGGAGAAGTGTATACATTACTAAGGAGACAGACTACTTTGAAGGGATTAGGGTTTTGTACCTCAAAATCAATAAATGTATTTTTGCTGACCAAAGGTCCAATACTTTTTGAACATTCCTCGTATTTTAGGGATCTTCTGAAAATATGTCAACTCTACATATACTAATTCAGTGATCTTGAAACTTTTTTGATTGTGTACCCTAAGACGAAAATAGTTATTATAAGTTTAATATAATATATTATATTAGGGAAACTTGGCATACCCCAAGTATCCCTTTGTGTACTCCACGTGGAGACCATAGCACTAATGTCATGTAGACCTAACAATTTTCTTTAACTCGGGTGATTTGGTTTTTCCACATGGGATCAGCATAGTGGGACATAGTGGTATCACACTGGGATCATATCTGAGGCAAACCTGAATATGAGCTACTGACCTTGCTCTGAATTAAACCAGCTCAACTCCTTCCTCTTGTCCCATCAGAAATTTTCAACTTTTATGTAACTATTTCAAATACAAGTTTTTTAGTCATGTCAAGCAACTCACTGATGTTATGTTTCAGACACAGTTCCCTCAGTGGAGACTGGACAAAATCTCAAATGCAGCTGCTTTTAACAAGCGACTCCAATTTATCCAAGACTTTTCTGGCTTAAATGGCAACTGATTTTATTTTATTTCTTATTTTTTTGTTTAATTTAATTTCTTTATTACATTTCTCTTTTTTATCTGTACTTTTCATCATGTTTTTTTCTTTTCTCAACAATAAATCACTTACTGCTCACCCAGGCTAACTACATTGATAAACATTGTCTCAAGTTTCTCGATGTCACATATCTAATTAAATTTATGGTAATTTATTAAAAAAAAGAACTTACAGTTAAAAGGAATGCAGCTGGACCAGAAGAATCTGTTGGTTCAAAGCAAATAGCCTGATAGTCAAATAAATGAACCCTAATTAATAGATAAAAATGTTTATTTCATTTCAAACTATTTATAATTCTTTTCATTATGAAAAAATTTCAATATCACATACTTTTTATATATTCCGTATTTGATCATCGAATTAAATAGAGTAAAATCAATTTCTCCAAAAAATTTTCCAGTCTGAAATTAGAAATGATTACATCTTGAGTGTAAATATGAATTAATTTTCATAATTTAAAATTATTAAACTTTAAAACTTTCTAAAAATATTATTTTTCATCAAGAAAGGAAGATTCATTAGTGTACCTGTTGATAGTATAATATTAAAACAGATGCATTTATAATTATGAATATTTAAAAAGTTATATTATGACAGTAAAAATAATAATATATTATTGTAATATTTCCTCAATGAAGAAAACATACAAACTTTACACAGTTCAGTTTTTAAATGTTGTTATAATAAATTTTATGAAGCATGCTAAACAGCTGCAGAAACACTATACAGTAATACCTCGAATTATGTGAACCCGGAGTTACATGATTTTCAAATCTCATTAATTCGTCTTTTGTTTGAGCGCCACACAATTATTGATAACTCATTCCCCCCACACTATTGTTCAGCTTACGTGTTCGGATGTGTCATGCAGAATCGACACATAGCTACAATTTATTTTGTGTTACAGAGACTTGAGAGACTATGTGGTGATTTCTTGTAACCATGAACGAATTAAAAGATGAGATAAGATTAACGAGAACACTTATTAGCTTACATACATCCGACTTGAATTTTACACAAATTGCGAAATTATACCTTGACTTATGTGAATTCGACTTACGCGGTTATTGCTCGGTCCCACCTATCGCGTAAGTTCGGGGTATTACAGTATTTAACTGTACAGCCTTTTCTGAACATAAAAAGATCAGGTTTTCAAGATAGAATAACAAAGTGTAAATAATAATCAACAGATATTTTGTCTGAGATTTTTAAAAACTGTCTACATCCATTAACATTGCCAATGCATTTTTTTTTTTATAATTATGCAAGTATCAATCATAGATGAATATTTAATAAATCTGATTTTTTCTTATTTTTGGTGAGTGATCAAAATTACATTTCTATTTAATGAATAAATCTGTTAATTATAAAATTTTGTTTTCTATAACTAATTTTGGATTAGTCATATTTAGTTGATGAAATGAAATGATAAATATATGATATCATAAAAAAGAAACTGACATTGACTTTAATCAATTTAAAATTATAAAATATAAATTCAAATGCCATGGATATTAATTATTTGAATATTATTATGCTGTATGTAAAAAATGAAAGCATTAAATTTTGTTATATAAGGGTTGTCCAGAAAATAAAGAATGTTTGCACATAGTAATCTGCACAGGTAAATAACTACCATTGATTCAATGTAAATTTGTTTCCTGATGTGTTAGCTTAACATGTGTAGAGTTTCGATAACAGCAGGCTTATTGTTATGTCAAGAGTTAAAATGTGTACAAAAATTGAAAATCCCACCAAATGCAAAGTGTAAAGTGTTATTTGTTTTCTAAACGTGAAGAAAGTTTGTCCTATAGACAAATCACAGAAGTGTATGGTAATCACATTATGAATGAAAAATGTGTGAGAAAATGATGTTTAATGTTTAATCAAGGAAGATAATGTGCAACTGCATTCTGCTGCAGCCACTCAAGCTCTGCTTTAGAAATTTGACTGGGACATTTTTGACCACTCTCCATACAGTCCCAACTTGGCCCCCAGTGATTTTTACCTCTTTCCCAAACTGAAAGAGTTTTTGGGTGGATTTGGAATGGATGATGAGGTGAAAGTTGTTACTAACTGGCTATAAAACTGGCAGTGGAAGTACGACAAAGGAATAAAAAAAACTAGTGCGCTACAACAAGTGCTTAAGTCATAATGGTCACTATGTAAAAAAATAAACTAGTCTTGTACGAATTACTTAATAAAACTTTTTCCTATCATTACTATTTTTTCCTTTTTTATAGTCAAATGTGATTTTTTCTGGATGTCCCTTATATATGAAGTAATAGTTTAAATAAGTATTAGCAAGTGAAATTATATATGATTTGACAATACATGAAACTCGTGTATTGTCAAATCATATATACATGTTAATTTGTTGTTTGCTGAAAGAATTAATTTTAGATATGATATTAAAAGAAATGTAACAATATGTTAAATTTACAGTTTTAATAAAATCTGTAGATGAATTTCTGTATAGAATTAAATAAAATTCAATATATTTCACATGTCATAACTGTGTTTACCTTTGTCTACCTGAGACACTAGCAAATTAAGGCTGTATGGCTGGCCATGATTTCACTCATTATGATCATTATCTTCAATGGTATTGGTCAAAATGGGGAGAGTTAGGAATAATGCTTAAAGTTCATACTACTAATGATAAATTATTGTATAGATCAGATCCAAACTAAGATATTCATGGCATTAAGTAAAGAATTGAATATTCATTTCATACAGCATCAGATTGCTAATGCAATGAGATGAATATTCAATTCTTTACTTTCAGTAAAATGAAAATTTCTATTTTTAATAGAAAAATAATAATGAGAACTTTAGCATTTGTCATTGAAGAAAAAACAATATATTTTGCTGAATTCATAACAATAATTTCTTGTAAACATATTTACAAGATGATTACTTGACAAATGCAAATATAAATTCCGATATTTTTATATATACTAACTTGTAAGTCTAAAATTGTAATTTTTACTATTAGACTGATGCAATTTATATAAAAATAGTTCATTCAGAAAAATTATAAACTTTGCATTTCCATTCATTTCAAGTGATAAATATAATTTAACAATCTAGTAAAACATTCTTTCAAACATTGATTTTATTTCTAAAGAATTAACTTTCAACAACATTCCATCTTATATTCTACTATATTGTAATCTGAAAAACAAAAGATAAAATATTTCCAGAGAAATTTATTCCATATTTAAATATTTGATTTCTTATATTTAAGTTTCAGTAATGGAATTACTAATTTCTTATGAATTAGTAAATAAATATTAGAATTCTTTACCTACCTGTTCATATTCTTCAGAAACTACAGTAAATCCATTATTGTCCAAAAGGTAACAATCTAGATCCTAAAAAATTAAACATAATTAATTACTTTGATGATAAAAAATTGATTCAAATAAATATTAAATGCTATAATTTAAATATTCTTAATTAAAACGAGCAATTATTTATTGTAACATCATCACAATGTTCGCAATTTTTTTGTAGTGTATTGCCCTTGTACATCTTACTTTTACTGTTAGCAATAGAGTCATGCCAATCATCTATAGTTAGATAGGTGATTGGCACAACTGTTCAAGGGGGTATTTTTGAATTGAAATAATGTGACTTCTGGTACAAACTGGAAGTTTGTATATATTTAATTGGGACACAACTATTCACAACTAGGTAAACTTGATGAAAACCCACAAAAAACCAAATACCAGCAGAAATAAAAGGGATAGAGCTAGCCTCCTGCCCCTAAGCTTTGCATATCTGGTTCCAACTTCCATTTATCTAACTCTATTCTTGATATTAAGGAAGGACAGACAGAGAGATAAACAGATGGATGACTGGAAATTTATGGGTCTACAATTTTTTCAAATTGCAGCCCAATTAATTTTAAACAGTCTGAGTCAGATAGATAAATTTTAAATACAGTACAATCATTTCAATTTTTATATTTTGAAAATGANATGTAAATTTCTAATTTGGCCCATAAGGAAAAAAAATTGGACAACCCTGGACTATACGGTTCCTTGTTGGCTTTATATAGGATATAAAATGTTTCTCTCTATTATTGTCCTTTGGTTGATCTGTTCCAAATTATCTTTGTTTAACTTGGAAAATATAGACTATCATGAATCCTGGACACCTTACCCCTCCCCTAATTTTGTCCCCTTTACTAACTCCTAAACACTGTCTGATCTGCACCAAAGTTTTCATACTTATTCTCTGGAATTCTGAGGTAAATGTAGACTTCCATGAAATCCGGACACCCCACTCTTTCCCTGATTTGATCTCCTCAATACTTTGTGATAAACATGACAATTGTAAGCTAAAATAACAAAATTTGCATTTTAATGTTTAGCCATTATCATGTTTGGAAGTTCTGAATCTGGAACTGTTATGGACAATCCATCTCTAATGGAAACTTATTGTCTGTCTTTTAAGTCAAAAGATGCTCAACTTAAGACATTTCTGAACATTAAAAATATTGAAAAAATGTTTATCTTCATATTTTTTGAAAATTAATTATTTTGAATTTTACATAAGATTTTTTTTTAATTTGCTGATGATATATTTAGGAACTGATGTTTTAAATCTTTCATTGCAATAAAGCCATAGAAGAATTAATTGATAAACATTACAGTAATTGTTCCTATAAATTACAGTATAGTACTAAGAATGCTACAAAAATTTGTTAGAAAATAATATTCTACTAAAGAATCTTATTTACTAACTTTTAGAAAACTGTCATTTTTAATGTTTTTTCATTGAATGACATTTTTATAATAAAGAAATAATCGATAAAATGCTTTCCATCTATTTATATCATAAATAACAACTACAATTTCTATGCTTTGTTAATAATAATTAAATTATAAATGAAACCATATGCTCGAATACAAAAATTGTAATGTCTTCTCTATTGTTACATCCAACTTTACTTTTTTGTTACGCATAATACTATTTCTGAGAAAGAGCTAACCAAAGGAGAAGTATAATTCTTGAAATAATTTAAATAAAAAAGTATATTTTCCCATTTGGACTAGCTTTTATCATTTAAAAAATTGAAATACAAAATTATTTCAAATCACTTAATAAAGTAATTAATTTTTTTTAACAATTTTTTTATAAACTTTTGACATGAACAGAAATTAATTTGGATACACATAATTATCAAAACAGCAAGAACTTTTATATANTTTGCCGGTTTCTCATTTGGCATTCTATAGAATGCCTAGGAAATCTGTAAAATATAAATCGTTTCATAGATTGCCGGCTAGTTTTAGGCATTATATACAATGCCTAGGCATTCTATAGAATGCCGGATTTCAAACTTTGCCGGTAACATATATATATAAATGGATATCTTTCAGAAAAAAACTTGGGTGTTTGAGAATTAGTTAAAATGACATAATTACTCCAGTAAGGCAGAGATTGTTGGAGAAGTTTCATTTAAAAATGTTTTTCTCTAATAATTTGATTAGGTTTATGAAAATTGGAACTTTAAAATTGTAAACCAAACAAGCAGCATAATATTGCATATTGCTTAATTTTTCAAGCTGTTTAATTTAAACTATCAAATTATTTCACAAGGATATTTAATAAACTTCAGAAGTAGGATAAGACTAAGAAATTGTCAAGGAAATGTTTCTAATTATACAATACACACATACACACACACTATATACAGTCGATTCCCCTATAAGATCATTGATTTTTCCGTTTTATCTGAATTACATGTTGTACGAGTCACTTAGATTTTACAAATATGTGAGCCGTTCACAGCTCGGCACACGTATTTGTAAAATCTAAGTGACTCGTACAACATGTAATTCAGATAAAACGGAAAAATCAATGATCTTATAGGGGGATCGACTGTATACAGTATATGTATGAGGTCTGTTCAAAAAATAACCAAACTTTATTTTTTTTAATTTTTATTCTTCAAGTTACAGATTATTTGTCCTTGTCCCATTCATTCAAAGTACTCCCCTCCCCTATTCACACACTTATCCCAGTAGTGTTTCCATTTGGCAAAGCAGTCCTGGTAAACTTGTTTTGGACAGTCCTTCAATGCTTGTGACGAATTTGTTTTAATGTCATCAATTATGTCAAAACAGCATCCTTTCAGCACTGATTTTAATTTTGAAAACAAGAAAAAATCACAAGGAGCTGGGACTGGTGAGTACTGGTGAGTCTGGGAAGGACAGTCATTTGACTTTTGGCACAAAACTGGCAAATTGACAAGGCTGAGTGAGCAGGTGATTGTCATGGTGAAGGAACCATGAGTTGTCTTGCCACAACTCTGGTCTCTTGTTATGAATTTTTTTAATGCAATTGTTTCAAAACACCTGCTTAGTACTAACAGTTGAATGTTTGACCTTGAGGCAAAAATTCAAAGTGTACAACTCTGATTTTCTGAATTTGTGTGTCATCAGTTGGGGTCAAAGGCTTTCCTGGTTGAGGGTCTCTTCAACTAATTGACAACCACTTTTGAATCAGGTAAAGTATTTGTAACACTGTGTATGACCTAGAGCAGTGGTCGATATCGACCCCCAGAGGTCGATGCAACATCATTGGGGGTTGATTAGGGGATCGATGCGGCTAGGGGTTGATTGAGGGGTCAATGCGACTAAGGGGTCACAACCTTTTTTTTTTTTTTTTTTTGCCTATACAGAGACCACAACTTTTTTTTTCACTCATACACATACATTTGTAATAAAACTTTATGGTGGGGGTCAATGTGAGGCTTTGGAAAGTGATTGGGGGTAGACGGTTAAAAAAGTTTGGTGACCCCTGACCTAGAGTATTACCTCCATAAGCTTGATTCAAAAGTTGAAATGTTTCTGTAAAAGTTTTCCCCAGTTTCATGCAAAACTGTATATTGCATCATTGCTCCCATAAATCGCACATTGCAAAAACCATGAACACTGAAACACCTTTTACTCAAAAACCAATAATGTGGGAACAAAACAAGATATCAACAATCCAAAAAAAAGCAGCTTACTCAGTAGGTTATCATGAATGTAGTGTTGCCAACTTCACAACACTAGAACACACTATTTTTACCCAATTCAAAAAGTTTGGTTAATTTTTAAACAGACTGCCTATCAGCAGATATGTGTGTGTGTATACTGTATTCCCAAAGCTGGATATTTACCAAAACACTAAAATTCTTGAGTGTTTGGGAAATAGAAACATGAGTATTCCAATAAAGCAGAAATTATTAATTTAAATATATGAATATATTCAATTTTTAAATGTTTTCTGCCCTGTGGATATTAAGAGAATATGTTTTTCTTTGCATATCATGAATCCAGCATGGCAGCAACAGATGACATTATATCTGGAGTTATCCTTTAATCCAGTTTGGCTTGGAAATTTTCAAGTTTATGTCCTTACAATGATTGATTAATACTTTAACTTTCTTTAAAATTACCATAAAAATACAGTTTCAATGATATATATAATAAACTTGAATTTTGATCAATTTTCCCATGTTTTACTTTACAAATATCACTAAAAAAAGAAAGTTCTCTCTAATATTTTTTCAGCAGGAAATTTTCATGGGCACAAAAGTTCACTAATATCTCAAATACAGTACTATAGTAGAGATAACAGAGACTTATGACACTTCTATCATCAGAATGCATGCAACTTTATTACTAGTATGCATTTCAGTTCTCATAAAACTGCATACCAGTAATAAAGTTGCATTTTGATGTTACCAGTAGCATTGTCATAAGTCTCTGTTATCTCTACTATAGTATTTAAGATATTAGTTTCAACAATTTTCAAGACAAGATGCTCTTTTATAATAAAAGTACTTAATAAACAAAAACAAAAACACTGAGTTCGGCGTTAAATGCGCATTTAACGCCGAACTCAGTGTTTTTGTTTTTGTTTATTTATTAATTTGGCGTGTTAGTCAACATAGTGTTTACTAATAATAAAAGTACATATTTTAATTTTTTCATTATTAAATTCATCAGTTTTTGCATGTAATGGCTGTAATGATCAGAACAAACAAAAGCAACATTATAAATCACATTTATACTTAAATCTATTTGTAAACTAAATTGCACATTTAATCACTAAAATACTCATATAAGTTTGTTTACTCAATGGCAACCATAACAAAAATAACAGTTATGATTAAAGACATGCTGTGCAGCAACAAAATCCACAGGTGCAGAAGCATTTCAGCTGTGCATATGCACAGCTTGGAGGAAACATTGATTATGATCTTAATCTTTTTTCAACTTATGAACAATATGACCGATTGTACATCTAAAATTTAAATTTTGCATTCTAAAAATTGGATTCTAAAGTTCTCTAGCCACTCATGAAGTGGCGTCAAAGTCAGTCTTTGTCCAGTAGTATAATACATTTTTAATAAATAATTAATGTGGACTTATTTCTATTGCATGTCAACATTTTTTGTTTTTGCACAAATTCTGAGGTTCATTGCTGCTTATGAGATGGCAAAAAAAATTGGTAATGTTAAAGTAATGGCATTTCTTGCTATTGTTTATAATTTTTATAAACTATTACAATTAATGCTTCAAAATTCCTCCAAAACATAATAGTAAATCTAGCAGTAAATCTGGAGATAAATACAAAACATGTCGATTATTACCATGGAAACTAAACTGGAATTTATAAAACTGTGAATAAGGTGAAAAAAATTGCATTTGTAATGCCCACTATTAAGCAGCAGTGAGAGGGTAAATGAGTGTAATGCATTCTGTTAAGCATATTGAAGGATCAAATACTAACAAAAAGTAGTTATTCTGTACACAAATGTAATTTCTAGGTTATTTTTCAACTTATGATAAAATCTCAGAAACCTAACCTGCTTGTAGGTAGGGAAGATCTTGTATTTGATAATAAAATATACCTTGGATGTAATGTCATTTGTATTGATATTACATAAATTAGTATACTTTCAAGCAAATATTAAAAATAATTACTTTTCAGTACTATTTCTTCGCTCTTCTTCACTGAGATATTCTAATACTCTCAAAAGACCACTTCTTGTTGCCACAAATGTTACAGTTATACCAAACATTTTGAACATATTTGGCCTGAAAAATGTAATACACTATTAGCAACTGAAAATAACATAAAATTCCAAAATGGAAAGTTATTATTATTTTAAAAATTAAAACAGGTAAATAATTTGATTGTCCAGTTACTTATTCAATTAAATATGAATGAACTTTTTTGTGTTAAATAAATCATGTAACAATTAAAATGTTTAAGAGGAAATCTTGTTTACTATATTATATAACTTATATACATGTATATGTATATATAAGNTGCCCTTGTACATCGTACTTTTACTGTTAGCAATAGAGTCATGCCAATCATCTATAGTTAGATAGGTGATTGGCACAACTGTTCAAGGGGGTATTTTTGAATTGAAATAATGTGACTTCTGGTACAAACTGGAAGTTTGTATATATTTAATTGGGACACAACTATTCACAACTAGGTAAACTTGATGAAAACCCACAAAAAACCAAATACCAGCAGAAATAAAAGGGATAGAGCTAGCCTCCTGCCCCTAAGCTTTGCATATCTGGTTCCAACTTCCATTTATCTAACTCTATTCTTGATATTAAGGAAGGACAGACAGAGAGATAAACAGATGGATGACTGGAAATTTATGGGTCTACAATTTTTTCAAATTGCAGCCCAATTAATTTTAAACAGTCTGAGTCAGATAGATAAATTTTAAATACAGTACAATCATTTCAATTTTTATATTTTGAAAATGATTCTGAATAATAATAAAAATATATATATATTTTTAAAAAATGATTTTCTGCAGGCATTATTGAGGGTAATATAAATTACTGATTTATTTACTTCTACCTTACTCTAAACTTGTGCATTATATCAGTTGTCCTCAACCATTTGGATGGCACAACAATGAGCTAGTATCACATCAAAGATTCATTTATACATATAAAGTGAAGTCAAAGATTTTAATATTTGCATATTTCTTATATAAAAAATGCAAAGATAGAGAAACAATTAACATGATATTTTTTTAAATTTTGTAGCATCAGTTAAGAATCTTTGCAGTATATTATAAAAAACCAGTATATTATTATTCATATTATAATATTATTAGTTATATTATTTAAAAGAAAAAACAGTTTTTAAGATGTTTAGCACTATTTAGTGTTAACTAAACTTCTTATAAAGAAATAAAGTGAAATTTATTTCTTTATAAGTGAAGTTGTAGCTATAATTTATGTCATAAATTTGATTCCTTATGTATGAAATCAAATTTTACTTTTACATTGCTATAATAATAAAAAAATAATTACCTCTCCACCACATTTATATCTGCATGGTTGCAGCATACACTATAACAAAAATGATTTAAATTATCAATTAAAATTTAATACATTTATTTAAATAAATTATTATTGTAAACTAACTTTTGATGTAATATCAAAAAACGTTTTAGAAAAAACAGAATGAAGAAATTGTAATCCGACGACAGCAGCGGGAGCTTTTTTCTTTCCAGTACCCAAAAAGATGGCATGACTTGCAGTTACTTTGGTATTTTTCTTTGAACCTGCAAATAATTCAGTTGTAATATTTGATAATCAATCAAATTAAAATCTGAAAATTGTATTCTTACCTGCATTGTGTGGGACAGAAAAAACAAAGGCAGAACTGTTAATATTATAAAAGTCAACAGCACGTTTGTAAAACAATTCATCAATAGCTCGAACATGTATATCTTGAAAGGGCCTAATAATAAATGTAATAAATATAGTTTAGTTTAGTTTATTGAACATAATAGGCAGTCGCCTGTTACAAGGGGGTACATGACGATGAAGAAAGATGGAAAATAAACATTCAATAACAAAAATTAAACATATCTCCGCTTTAGAATAACATGTAGTATTTTAAGATTTTACATTTAAGAGTCTTCTTACACCATTATAGCAATTGTAAATTTCATTAGTGGTGGCTAGATTGAATTTATTGTACATATGATTACCTAAACTTTGGCTTTTATTTTGATCTTCAGTGATCTTTGATTCTTGATCTTATTTATCACTTCTCTTAATATTTATCACTTCAATATCCTGAGTAATGGAACATTCTACAACTCTAAGCATTAATTGATTAATATAATGATTATTATTTCTGAAATAATCAAAAACTAAATTGATGGAAAATCCATAGTCATTAAATATGTGAGACAATTGAGCAATCCAATTCTGAGTTAAACAAGTCCATCTGTCATCTTTTTATCATTAGAAGGTGCAAGATATGTGACTATAATTCCTAAGTGATATTCATTAATCTCAGAATTTAATTTTTTTTTTTCATTTAATT